AGAAATAATAGGAGACAAATTAAGAAAAGAGTGAGAAACGGTAAAGAGGGAAGGCAAGAGGAAGGGGAAAATATGAGTGTGTGGGAGAGGTAAAGAAACTAGGAGAATTTCACGATACTAGCCTCTGGTCTCTCTGCACCTGCAGCACTCTCCAGAACTACCTGGTTTGGCGCATGGTGCTTGACAGAGTTAGTGGCTTGAGCCGGCGTTTCAAAGAAGCCCGGGCCAGTTACAGGAAGGTAATATCCCCCCATCTTGCTCCTAATTAGCCATTTGCAGAACTAGCAGTAATCCGACCATGCCGTATGTGTTTCCTTTTTTTAAAAAAAATGATTTAAACGTTGTTGTTGTTGTTGTTTACTTCCTGTGCATTGTCTCCTGTTTTAATTCCATTGTTGTGATTAATCGCACAATGACAATCAGTACTGTTGTTTTCTGTGTTTGAACTGGATGGGAGAAGGACGTGTTGCTTAAGAAAGAAACATTGGTGACGGGCCTATAATTGCCAATTTCGTCCGCCGCCAAACTAGGTTTCTTTCTAATGGGCCTAATGAGCTTCTTTATGAATGGCTGAAATCCACTAGTAAGTTGCAGCTAGAGTAGGCCCATTGAATCAGTGTAACTCACAGAGGAGTCGACTCACCAAATCCCCACTGATTCAAGGCACCTATTCTAGTTGTGACTCACTGCTGGATTACAGCCAATAAATGGGTCAAATCCCAATGCAGTGAACCACAGAGTCCCATCAAGTGATGACTCATCTGTGCTGCAGATCTCAATGAGTCTACTCTAGCAACATGCTGCTGCCAACAGGACAAGAATATGTGATTGCATATATAAGCTTATCTTCTTAGGATCAAACAATGTTACAAATAGCACATTGATGGAAACCGGAATTCCTTGAGTGCTGGAGGCCAACTCATTGCCACAGGGCAAGCTTTCCACGCCCCCTACAGCTTACAAATCAGCTGCTTTGCTTTGTGATGGGTCACCAGGATGCTAAAAACAAGCTCATGCTTTTCCGGCATCCCATCTCTGTGGTTGGAGCCCCCTGACCTCCAATAGTCATGGAGAGCTTTGGAAGGAAGGGTGGAAGGTTTAGCTGGGTGAAGGTCAGGGTGGCGAAAAAGTGAGAAGTTACTAAGACAAAGCATGAAAAGGCTGGATGGTTAGGACTGTGATGATATTACAGTGTTTGTTTGTTTTGTTTTAATCTAAGGCTCTTTATGGTACAATGGTGGAGGAGGCTCGGTGGCGGGAGTGTGTGAGCTACGTCAACACAAACATGGAGAACGCGGTAGGCGCACTATATGTGCGGGAGACTTTTGCCGGCAAGAGTAAAAGGATGGTAAGTTGTGTTTCTTGTCTTGTCTTCCTCTTCCTCCTCTTTGTTGAAGACTTAAAATCCAATCGAGAGCCCCAACTAGATCAAACCCAATGGAGAAATGGCACTGAATAAGTCAATACAAATGTAAGCCATTGATTCGATAGGTCTGTTGTAGATAGGTCTAGGAACTAGACTTTCATTTCATAAATTTATATACTGCTGACTTAGTGTGGACACTATGCTAAGCGGTTTACAAATATAAAATTAACAATAACTCAAATGTGTGCTAATCTGTGACCTATATGTATTATTCCAAGGGTTCTTGGGAATGCCTGGTTACCACCATCTCCTCCTCCTGCTCTTGTTCCTCCTTCTTGTCATCATCATCATCTTGGAACTGCATTGCTGGAGGGGATCTTATGGGTCATCGAACCTAGTGTCTGTCAAGGACGCATGGCGGAGAATCGAACTCCCAACCCTCTGGCTCCGCAGTCACCTAAACCAGTCATCCTCTGTCTCTTCTTCTTCCATCTCTCTTTCTTTGTTTCCTTCTTCTCTTTCCTCAGTCTTCTCCACTTCTTCTGTGATGATTCTTACAGTGAAATGTTCACCCTTCTGAGCCTTGGTGAAAGGCCACCCTAATTGTCAAGGCATGCAAAGCCAGAGGTGAACTCGTCATCTCCAGAATGGCTGCTGTCTTCCACGGATCCTTTGGGGGAAGAGAAAAAGAACCCCACCACATCTAGGTTCTCATTCTGTCAGGGGAAATCACCATCCCAGCTCACCTCCCTGCTAAGACAATGGCCAACATCCAATGGTTAGACTCAACTAGAGTAGACTCATTGAATCAACTGGTTAACAGTTAAATCAACACTTAAGTGAAACCCATTGAGTCAGTGGGTCTACTCTCATGGGGAATTGAACCCAGGTCTTCTGAGACCTAGTCCACCACACCCAGTAATGATGTTATTTGGACACAACTGCAATTCCACTTCCATGGCCTTGCTCTTTGGAACCATTGTAAATCAACAATATTTTTGTCTCCATTGCCATATCTAGAATAGACCGACCAACCAACAATATTTTTGTCTCCATTGCCATATCTAGAATAGACTGACCAACCAACGTTTGCTAGCATAGAAACAACCTTGTTCCAACGCTGGGTGCAGCTGACCCACCAAACCTATAAACTGTTGGTCTTCATTGCGCAACCTGCCGTTCTATTATTAGAAGCAGCCTGAGATGCGTGTCTCCCCGTTCGTCTTTCTTTCTAGGTCGGAGACCTCATTGAAAAAATCCGTGAAGTGTTTATTGAAACTCTGGATGAATTGCAGTGGATGGATGAAGTATCTAAAGGAAAAGCTCGGGAGAAGGTGAGGCAGAAGATATGTACGTGAGACTAAATTTTAGGAATGAAATTTCACAAGGACGATCTCCTTCACCTGGAAGAAACCAAAATAAATCAGGTCTTTGTCGACTATATCAGTAGCTCATAACCTTGGGGTCCTCAGTTGTTCTTGGACTACAACTCCCAGAAATCCTGGCCAGCACAGCTCATGGTGAAGGCTTCTGGGAGTTGTATTCCAAAAACATCTGGAGACTCAAGATGGGGAACTACTGGAATATATCACAAAGACAGTTGGCGGAATTTTCTAAGTGACCATTTCAAACTTTAATACAAATTTCTCATGTTACATTTCAGTGGCACAGGGAGACCATTTGGTTTTGTCCCGAGAAGTCATTATTTCAGAAACCACTTTCATTTCAAAATAGAGGTTGAGACAGGGCTTGACCACCTCCTTGGGTCCCAGATCGTTGTATCCAGCAGTTTGGAGGAGTATGTTCCAGCCAGGAATTGTCATAACTTAGAAAGCCCCTTCCTAGCCCGAACAACACACCCAAAAGTACAAGTTAAGAATTCGATTTAGAGCATTTATTGGGAGCTGATATGGTTGCTTTGTAGATTAGATAGATCCAGAAGTTCTGGTAATGATCAATCCAATCTGAGTTATGGGCTAAGTTCAGTGGGGTGCAGTCTGAAAAATTCTCACATCAATTAAAACTTATTCGTTGTTAAGGTTTGAGAAGACTCTTTGTCGATTTTTGCTGCAACAGATTGATACAGCTTCCCCTCAAAATTTTGTCCAAATTAAATGAATTGTGGAAATCAGTAGGACGTGCTTCATTACATTAACACAATCATGCCGCATTTAGTCTTAATGAAAGACAAAAATTAAGATGCTGCTCTTTTTCTCCGAGGCGATTGCAATCAAAGAGCAGATCGGCTACCCAGATTACATTCTGGAAGAGGAGAACGAGAAACTGGATCGGGAATATGCAAATGTGAGTAGCGAGGCCACACTTTCACATGAGCAGGGCTGTTTATTTTTGTTCACGTCATTTTGTTGTCTTTCATTATGACCACTGACATCACAGGTATTTGTATGCGGTCTTGAATTAAGCCAAGATTCCTTGGGAGACAATGGCTAAAATCCAACGGTAAGTTGCAACTAGAATAACCCCATTTGAACCAATGGAACCTTCAGAAGAATTGATTCACCAAAACCCCTCTGATCCAATGGGCCTACTCTAGTTGTGGTTTGCTATTGGATTTCAGCCATTTTTCATGCGAAAATGTCACCCTTTCCCCCTCTTATCCCCGTTCCCTTAGAAGAAGGCTGCTTTGCAATTTTTTCCCCCAAATGCTCTCCATATTTGGGGGACAATTTCTTTCCCCCCCACCTCCTGCCCCCAAAGTCCAAGAAAATATGGAGGAGCGGGGACAAGATTTCGAACTTGAGGGTATCAGTTGTGAGCTTTGGAATAAAGGAACAAAGCCATGTATCCATGTTCAGCTGATGGACCATCGGGTGGACAGAACCTTGGATGAGACAGGCCATTCATTGAACTGGTGTAGCTTTTCTCAGGCTCTTAGGAGTCCTAATCCCAGTAAAATGTTGCAAGAAGGTTCTTCTGACTTTGTTGCTCCCAAACAGGCTACAACTGTCTGGATAGTTCAACAGTTTAGCTTTCTGGCTGCAAAACCAGAGGTTGGTAGTTTGATTCCCTACTGTGTAGCCCAGAAGAGCCAGCCTGTGTAGCCTTGGGCAAGCTGCAAAGTCCCTGGGCGCCCTCTGGAGGAAGGGAATGGAAAACCACTTCTGAGCACTTTCTACAAGAAAAACCCTGGAAAGAGTCACCAAAATTTGGAACTGACTTGATGGCATGCGATTATTCTTATTTAAAAAGATCAAGAAACTAATTGTATACCGTTTTTACTACCGTTAAGATGTTATTTGCACTGCACATGATTTTATGTCATTTTTGGTTCCTTATCTTTGCCAATGTCTACATGGGAATGGGATGGCAGCCCAACCCAACCGTTGCTTTCAGAACTATTTCATCTTCTTTCAGCTTAACTTCAGTGAGCATGAATACTTCAAAAACATCCTGCAGAACCTCCGAGCGCAGGCACAGAAAAGCCTGAGGAAGCTGCGGGAAAGGGTCAACCAAGATACGTGAGTGTCTGGATTCCATGAGGTCTTACAGTTGAGGTGAGGAAGCTGTGGCCCTTAAGATGTTGTTAAACTGTTAACTCCCATCATGCCAGCCCATTGAGTGTATTGGCGAAACCTGACAGGGAGTTGAAGTACAACAACATCAGGGTTTTTTGGGTGTGTGTGTGTGAAACCACATTTGACCTTGCCATCCTGCTGCCGGTCTCAGAAGGCACACAATGAACATTAATTGGGGCTCTGGGCAACATTCGATACAAACTGTTCTTGCAGTCCTGAGTAGAAATGGACATGAACCAAACAGTGAACTGTTAAAAAAAACAACCCACAAACCGGGCTTGTTCATGATTCCCTTCATGCAAGCTGTCTTGCCAAAATGAATTCCAGTGCCAGTGTTTTTTCCATCCTGTGCTTTGTTTTGTTTCGGCAAAATGGACGCCGTCGCCCCCTTCCCGTTAGCCCTGTCGCTTCCCTTCCTGGTCGTAGCACCTCCTCCTTTTCCTCACTGGCCACCGCCATCTTCAGAGACAGATGTCTGGCTTACTTCCTGGGAGCCGGCCCTGCTCCCTCTGCGCATGCGCATGCCTCTCAGCATTCAGATCCGTTCTCTTCAAGCATGAACCCAAAAAATTAATGGCATGCCATTTCCTGGGTTCAGGGAGGGGGTGATTCGTGGGCAGCCGTAAACCACAAACCATTCCCAATTCCGTTTTCCCCCAGTTCATGCCCAGCTGTAACCATGATTTACAAGTTCAATGTCTGTTTCTCGGTGGAAACAGCTAACATTTCTTCAGAGACTGAGTCCCTTGTTACGTCACCTTCCCCCCTCCTTCTGTATCTTTTGAAAAATAACTGGGTTTTTTTTCTTATTTTCTTTATTCTTGCCCAAGAGTAGACTAGAATTCAGTTGACCTTCATATGGTTGATGGGTCTTCTCCCTAATTTTTTTTCAGATGGCTCATTGGTGCTGCTGTGGTCAATGCCTTTTACACTCCTAACCGAAACCAAATCGGTAAGTCCAAAACAGCCATGTGGATTATCTTTGGGCAAAGGTCCCAAAGCAGATTTATTCAGGAAGATATATTTTTTCCCCATTTTGGGACTGAAGAACCCTTTGTCACCTGCAGGATAGAATGACATCCCTACAAATCCCTCATGTTCCATTTACATTTGTGGATTTAAAATCTTTTAAACTCAAGATGAACCAGGGATGGGGGAAATGAGAATTTAAAGTAATACGGGGTCTCCAGTCACAAGTGAAACACCCCACTCCATGAAGATCACAATATCTCCTGGACACTCTGACCATTGAAGGTTCAGGATGAGGTCACCAAATGCTGGTTTTTCTCTTCATCCACTTTGTATTGCTGTGTGAACACTTGGTGGGTTTGTGATAGGATTTTTCCAGGGCCTGTGTCATTCCTAAATGGCAAGGAAAATATTCTCTTGTATTGGTGTAAATATTGGCAAAGAGCAATGTCAAAGTTGGCCACTAGGGGGAACTATACAGTCTCTCCCTGTTTTTGTTTTCCTGGCCTGCTGGTAAGGGCAATTCAATGTGTTAACAAAGCAATGAATTACTTTTACAATGTTTAAAAGTAATGAGTAGTGCAATCAGTTCCTTCTAAATAATAACTGTGTCCCACAGATTTATCATGCTGAACTCAGAGAAGGATGAAATAACATCAGACTAGTTATTCTTACTTTGCATCTGGAAAGCAGAAATGAACAAGCTTATAGTGATGAGATTTCCCTTCTCCCACTCTGATTCTCACAGTATTCCCAGCCGGTATCTTGCAACCCCCTTTTTTCAGCAAGCATCAACCTCAGGCGCTGAACTTTGGCGGGATTGGGATGGTCATTGGGCATGAAATCACACATGGGTTCGATGACAATGGTAAGGAGTGGCTGAGGTCAAACTCAAGCAAAATTCTCTTTCTTCCCTGCCTTAAAAACTGCAAGATGTGGCAACACTTCAGAACTTGGGAAAGTTACCTGTTCTAGGGGTGTGTGGCAATTATTTGTGGAAAGGTTTACAAAGGGATGTGGTAGCGTCCTGTGGGTTAATCTGCAGAAGCCTTTGTGCTGCAAGGTCAGAAGACCAGCCATCGTAAGATCAAATCCATGCAACAGAGGGAGCTCCCGTCGCTTGTCCCAGCTCCTGCCAACCTAGCCATTTGAACGCATGTAAAAATGCAAGTAGATAAATAGGTACCATGGTGGGAAGGTCACGGCGTTCTATGTCTAGTCACGCTGGCCACGTGACCACAGAAATGTTCTGTGGACGAACAATGGCTCTATGGCTTGGAAACGGGGATGAGCACTGCACCCTAGAGTCGGACATGACTGGACTAAATGTCAAGAGGAATCTTTACCTTACAAAGTGCAGTATCAGAACAGGCCACTAGGGGGCAGCGGTGCAGCAGGTTTAGTGAGGTGAGCTTCTCCATAAACTGAGAATGAGCTGGAGGATGCTCATGAAGTAAAGGAAAAGAGAAAAAAACCTTATGTTTATTTTTTGAGAAATTCATTTAGCAGCCGGCTAAAGAGCAGGGTTTTTTTTCGGGGGGGAACCTGTTTTGATGGACTATAACTCATACATCCCAAATATAATCTTCACCAAACTTGGCAAGAGTTGGATGGAGCGTCAGATCAAGCCAAGTTTGCAAAATATTGGATATAGGACATCCAAGTTATAGCCCGTGTAAAAATCAGCCATGCCCATAAGAGCTCAGTGTTTTGTTTCAGAAAGACATTGAGGAAGGAGTCAGTTCAGCATCTGTATTCTTCCTCAAAAAAGAAAACTTAAAACTTTTCGAAAAGAATTAGGTTCAGAAAGTCTCTGCAGGATGGGTGGGTATTAATTTTGTATATCATTTGACGGTCCCTACACCCCAGCCTTCCTCGTTTAAAAATAAAATATTTGGCCACTAGAGGGTAGAAGAGGGCTTTTCAAAAATTAAAAAACCTTTTAAAAGAAAATTTGAGGTGGCCATCTTTGTAGTCTACGTGGCCTCCAAGATCCAGGAATGGTTGTAGACGTTCCTTGTAGACTGCCTGTCCCAGCAATGAAGATGGAGGGGGGGGGGTCCAGGGGAGGAGAGGAAAACCTTTGCTAGATGTTGTGAGAGGGGTAATTCAATCCAGACCAGGTTTGGAAGGGCTGGTCAGAGACCTCTGGCTTGGGAAGTAAAGCCCTCTTGTGTGGCTCATCTCTCCCCCACCCCCGTCTTGAAAAACACAGGTAGAAATTTCGACAAAGATGGCAATATGTTTGACTGGTGGAGCAACGTCTCGGCCCTGCATTTCAAGGAACAGTCGCGCTGCATGGTCTACCAGTATGGGAACTACACTTGGGACCTGGCAGGTGGACAAAACGTGAGTCGGGTTATCTGAATGAGGAGGGGATTGGAGCGGCTCCCCCCTTTTTCATATGGGGAGTCACATTCCACAAGCAGTAAAATCCATAATTAGGGCCCTTCTTTTCTCATTAGTTAAGTCTGGCTAGCGAGGACTAAGATAACGTTGAAACTCCTTCCTTAGAGAGGGGTACTAAGCCCCTCCATTTACATATTTATTTGCATATTTAAGCCGCTTCCTCCCAAAATCCCATCAGGCTCTTTCTGATTAAGTTTGTATTTTTTTGCTCCCTCTTATATTTCAAGCAGACCCAGCATGTTTTTAAAAGAGGTGCTCTGTCGAGTGGGGAAAGATGTTTGTCATCGTATGTCATTTTTCTTCACCTACATATTTTGCACTTGGCATGCTTTGTTTTCTAATTGGTCACCAGGAAACAAACCCTGGCTCAAGTTGCAAGTCTTAACTGCTAGAGATGATATTTCTTTGGAAATCCTTTTGCTGGAGGGAAACCGAACTAATTCTAGCAAATATGTGTTTTCCTTCATATGTCGTTTGACACTGTTATCTGTGACAACTTCTGCCATTACTTATATGACTGTAAACAACATTAACACATATTTCTTGTCTTATCTGTGACAACTTCTGCCATTACTTATGACAGAAGTAATATGACCGTAAACAACATTAACACATATTTCTTGTTTCAGGTCAGTGGAATCAACACACTGGGGGAAAACATTGCTGATAATGGTGGCATCCGTCAGGCATACAAGGTATGATTGGGTTTTATTGCTGTTTGTTTTCCTCGAGATGTGTTTGCAGCCTTTTTGCATGTGAAAGAGAAAATACTGGATATTCAGATTAGGAATAAGGGAAAAAATGGATTCAGCTCCCTTTTTTGTGCAAATATTTTCTGCAGAATCCAAACACCTTTTGGTGTTACATCCTCAAAATTTGTGATTGCATTTCTGCAAGCAAACCGTTTGCATGGAGAGACAGAGAAAAAGGAAAGATAATGCCCCAAAATGTATACAATTGGGGGGGGGAGCATTAAAAAGGTCCCTGTGGCTTTTCTGTTCTCCTACCTAGAAAACATTGAGAAGGATCTCCATAAGTCAGGATTGACTTGACAGCATGCAATTATTATTACTATGGGCTGTGGTTCCCAAACTGTGCCCCACAATGCTCTGGGACGCCCCTCAGCCGGGGATACTGTGGCATCCTCTCATTCTTACCCCCCTTTCTCCTTTCTCTCTTCCCACCCCCCAAAGTATCATATTGGGGAGCAGTGGCAAGTGGCCAGTAAGTCAAGGGAGCCACAAGTCGAAAAAGTTTAGAAACCACCGGTGAGGATAAACGCACACAAAATTTCTATTGGACACCTTCCAAATTTTGCTTCAGTGGTGCCACTGTTTACGCCTGTGTAAATGCACCATAAATATTTAAGCTACTTGTTCTTGTCTTGTTGTTTTTCCCAGGCTTATTTAAAATGGGTTGAAAAAGAAGGAAAGGAACCGAGATTACCTGGGCTGGATCTAACCCATAAACAGCTTTTCTTCCTCAACTTCGCACAGGTAGGTTTGGGGCGGTTGAGAATCCTTCATTATGAGGAGATGCCTTCCTTATACCAATGGGATCCTTACACTGGTGCAAGACCTGGGACACTGGCATTTGCCTGCTTTCAGAGATATTGCAAGAGTGACACAGAGTTTTACCCCAGAGACCGTAGAGGCAGCCGAGGTATAAACCGGGCCAAAAAGCTGCACGGCTCACTTAAACAACCAGTGGAGAAATCCATGCAGTAGCCGCTATTGACTCCAGTTCTAGAAGTGTTCTGAATCCATTCCAGATTTTCCTCTGCTCTTTATGGATGCTATCCAGGGTGCTGAACCTATATAAAGGTACAGCTGCTTAGCTCCTGTAAAGGGCAGAGGAAAAGCTGGAGTGGATTCGCAGCACCCCCACCCTGGAGTTTATTATTACAATTTGTAAAAGTTCATTTGGAGACTACAGTTCCCTGAATACTCCAGCCAACATGGGCTGAGGATTTTTTGGCCGTGTAGTCCAAGCCATTATTTTTTTTTTCTGGCTTTGGATGTAACACATGGATACACAGACACAGACACACACACCATAGCCACACAGAACTTTTCAAGACCAATATCTAAAGAGTCTGGTCACTGAGAGTTTCAAATAGTTTTATTTGGTTTTGTTCAGATAAAAGCTGTAATAGGCTTTTCTGGCCCATACTGTATATACTTACCTTGTTGGCTGAATAACTCAGAGGCTTAGGTATCTGATTGACAAGCCAGAGGTTGGGGGTTCAATTCCCCCACAATGCCTCCAGGGAGAAGAACCAGCCTGTGTAGCTTTGGGCAAGCTGCACAGTCCCACAGCACCCCTAGTGGAAGGGAATGGGAAATGAATTCTGAGTATGCTATACTTAGAAAGTCCTGGAAAGTGTTGCCACAAGTCATAATTGACTTGATGACATGTAATTATTATAACGTACCTAGTGTGGTGTAGTGGATAGAGTGAGAGACCAGGAGGCTGGAGATCTGGGTTTGAATCCCTGCTCAGCCATGGAAACTCACTGGGAGACTGGAACTGGTAAAACCTCTCCTTAAATACCATCCTTACCTTGAAAGCCCTGTCCGTGTCACTATATGCTGGAACTGGTAAAGCCTCTCCTTAAATACCATCCTTACCTGTCCGTGTCACTATATATTGGTTTGACAGCACATAACAACAATTATAATAATAATACTTACATCATTATCTGTTTCCCAGGTATGGTGCGGTTCCTACAGGCCAGAGTATGCCAGCCAGTCTATTAAGACCGATTCCCACAGCCCTCTGGAATACAGGTAAAAGCCCTTGTGGCCGTTTCTGTGTCTTTTGCCCATCCTGCTGCCATTGTTACACATGTTGAAACACAATTACAGGTCACGGTGTTGAACCACCTTAATGACCCCTAACCATTCTTCAGTTGGAATGCTTGGAAGCATTCCATAACCATTCAGCCACTGTGCCAATGAACAAAGGGGATTCAGTCCAATGCATTGAAGCCCAGGTTCTTACAGCCCATTGCAAGCAAAAAATCTAAAGGCTAAAGTCACACTGCTGGCATGGGACTATGAATACAAGCAATGACTCCTTTATGAGCAGCAGTTTCCTGCTGCAATCTACCCCACTGCATGTTAATGCCAGCATACAAAAGCAGAAGGGTTCTGCCACTAATTTAATATGATAATATGTTTCCGCCCTTTGTAAAGGTGTAGTTTTAATTTTTAATTTTCTCCGTGTTTATTTTGTAAGCGTTCGTGAATACATTTGTTGGAAGAAAGGCAGGACAAAAATAACATGAATAGATGGATTCACCCTTTTTTTTTAAAAGGGGGGTATTGTAATCTTATACTTGCTAATTTGGGAATAATTGAATGCAACATAATTTTCTTGTGAGTGGGACATGCAGAGATATCAGAAAGTAGACATGGAGGATGGGATTTTTTTTTTGATTTCTCAGACTACAAATCCCATAATCCCCCACTCCAGGAGTTCTACCTGACTTATGCAGATCTTACAGACACCTAAATGAGGCTCACCTTGGGAGGAAAGCCCTAAACTGGAAGGGTTTGTGGTTTAGCTAGGCCTAGCTGGAAGCTTTATTTCTGAACAGGAAACTAGGCAGAGCTAGGCCTAGTTAAATTTCACAGCCTTCCAGTTAAGGGCTTTCCTCCCAGTTGAGCCATATTTGAGGTATTTGTAAGATGCAGGTAAGTCAGGAGGAGCTCCCCACATTGGGAATTATGGGATTTGTAGAGCCCGGAATACAAGATTTCTTGAGTAATTGCCACCTTGCTCAGATTATTTTCCTCGGGGTTTTTTTTTCCACCCCAGGGTGATCGGTTCTTTGCAAAACTTTGAAGCCTTTTCTGAAGTATTCCATTGCCAGAAGGGCACCCTGATGCACCCCATACAGAGATGCAGGATTTGGTAGCAGAAGGAGAGAGAGACTGAGACGCTTAAACTTTGTTGCGGGAACTCTGCAGTCCGAAACACCCAACTCGTCCTGATTTTTGCCAACGACGTGCCTGGTGGTTTACGAATCCTCCCCTTGCGCTCCCTGTTCAGCCACGGCTATCGTTCATGGTGCAGCTACCACAGCAATGACTGTTCACACTGTCGTGATTTGAGTGGGTATCAACTGGACTGGGGGGGGCCCTCAATACCTCTTTGTGTCAATGAAAGCTACAGAAAGCTTCAGGGAAAGGAAAGGAAAAACAACGAGGAGACTGTTCTAAAGACATCGACTGTTATTCAGCTACATCAGGGTTTTTAAAAAGAGAAGTATTTAAAAGTTCTATTTTTCATCCTTAGTCGATATGCTGTATGCTTTTGGGCTTGTTCGGGCAAAGCTTTTTCAAGCTTTCCCCTCCTCTCCAGGCAATGGAAGCAGGAGTAGGGAATCTGCTTCAGGGTTTAGTCCGAACTTTATAGTCGCTCTCCAAGGTACTGAAAGCCAAGAAGTTAAATCCTTTGGAAAGTTCTGGCTACAACCCAGAATGGATTCAGACATCTGAGTCTCCAGCTTCCAGTGCCATAGAGTTTGTCTTTAATCCATGAGGTAACAGATTCACCAGCCATCGCTTGCTGTGTAATCTCTTTTGATGCCAAAGCTGATTCATGCTGCTTCTGTTTCCACATGAATACAGAAGTACGGCATTCCTGCATTAGAGCCGCAAAGATACATCTAACTGTCTGGTATTGTTTTCAGCATGGGCCAAGCAAATGCCTCTGGAACTTTATAAACAGAGCATGAAATGAATTATTTTGTACAGCTTCTGAACATTTGTCTGCTTAAATCTCCGAGGGAGACTTGTTAACATGGTTTTGTATTTGGGGGGGGGTTTGGTGTGCAGAGGGAAGGGGACGAAGTATTAAACATGATGTGAACAGCCTGGGAATTTTCTAGAAGACTAGAAAATAAAGAGTTTGGGTTTAGGATGTTATGGAAAGTCACCATGCCCAAACATCTAGTAACTATCAACAGAAGAGTTCATCACAGTGGCTAAGTGGGAACAAATGTATTAGCTTTTAGAGAACAGATTTAGAAGCAGGACAGAACATTCTTCAGCTGAGGTAAAGATTTTCTCCTCAGAAGGGGGACAAGTGAGGAGAAGAAGGAGACTCATCACAGCAGGACAATATCCTGTCTTCACCTGGTACATACCTCATTGGCACACTGAAAATAAGAAAAGGTATATTTGCTTAATTATCATATTTTCAAGACATGCAATCTCCTCACCTCCCCACAAATACTGTATTTTTCCATGTATAAGACTATACTTTTGCCTAAAGCCTTTAAACTAAAAATTGAGAGTCATCTTATACACGGAAGTAAGCTGAGGAGCGAACAAAAACAAGTGGAGGCGAAAGCAGGGATCAAAGCGATCCTGCAGCGCTTTGATCCCTTTCCCCCCCCCCTTGCTAAGCCCCCCTTATTTTTCTTAATTTTGGATTAGAAAAGTGAGGGCGTCTTATACATGGAAAAATACAGTACATAGACAGTATGCCAAAAATAGCTATTTTCTTTTTTTAAAAAAAAAACCTGTTCACGGTGTGGCTGAAATGTGGAAAGAACAAAAGTGAAGGTTGGCACCCCTAATGTTTACTTCTCGTCAACTAAGGGAGATATACAAGACAGCCACTGAACTACATTCCTGCATGAGTGGAAATCCTGCATGGAGACAGGCCAGAGCTTGGTAACAAGAGATGCTACTCAACTGTGGAGCACATATTTTGTGTGTCAAAGATTCCCCCTGCTGGAGATAAGGTGGGGGAAAAATCCTTCCTTGAAACTCCAGAAAGCCATTGCTAGTCAGAGAGGCAGACCATCCAAAACCTGATGGACCCAAAATCTGGCTCATGAGGGCCATAAAAAACTCCACGTAGCCACAGCCCAAGTAGATTTGCTTGCGAGATGAACCCATGGGTTGAATCCATACAGGATGAATGTTTTAGGTGGCTTTGCTGCCTCTAGGTTTCTCCAGGAAAGGGCAGGATGCAAGAGGGAACAAATCAGAGACCCTCACCTGAGGCTTTGCTCCTTCCTCCATCTTTGCCGAGATGCCAAGGGTCTTGAGAATAGTATCCAAGGGGAGGTAGTCACCTGGGGACTCCTGGACGAAGTATAAGAGCACATCTTTCCCACCTGGAAGGAGGAAGAGCATGCTGAGACAAGCGACTACCGGTAGCTAGGGAAGATGTCTGGTGCTCTTCAAGGTGAGTCCTAGACCTGGATCCGAGCCGGACTGTGACTCAGATCTGTAGAAACAGCCAGCACCCTAAGATGTTGATACAGATCCAAACCCCAGCTATGTTTCTCTCTCAAACTTGCTGAACAGCATCCTCCTTTGACCTGGTCAACCCATAATCACCTTGATGAGAGAAGCTACAATGGGTGTTCGGTGCCGTCAAGTCGGAACCAACTTGTAGCGACCCTAGTAGGGCTTTCAAGGTGAGATAGTTCAGGAGTGGTTTTACCCATTCTACTCCCCCAGTGAGTGTCCAGGGCTGAGTGGGGTCTTCAACCCTCTTCTCCAGAGTCCTAGTCCGTCACTCTGTCCACTACACCACACCAGGAATCATTGTAGAACAATAGGTTTGTAAATAAAGGGTGTGATGTGTAGGGTTTCCCCCCCTCCCTTATGTCCATGGCTCCTACTAAGCTGATGGTGTGACCTCCATGATATAAAGGATGGATGTGTTTAATTCAGCAAATCCCCTATATGCTACATGGACCAGTATGGCCGTCTTGACACTTACCTTGGTTGACTATCAAAGCCCCTCCACTCTGTAAAAGGTCTCCGGAGAAATTTCCGTGGATGCCCTCAGCATTTGCCTGGGAGATGTAAACCAGAGAAGAATCCATATCAATCCCACTTCCCTAGAAAGATTCCTCTAAGGAGCTGACTAATACCTCCCCAGTCCAACTGGAGGCCATGGTGAAGAACAACCCTTAAGACCGGTAGACAACCTATGGTCAGGAAGCCCTGTCCTCCTTGAAGACATATCCCACCTACGATAGCCATGAGGTTTCATGGAATCCGGCTCCCTTCAACTGGGGCATAGAATGCTGTCCAAAACCACAGGTGTATATACATGATGTGCGCTGGACGATGGCCAACATGCAGGAAGTAGCTAAAGTGACCACCAGATGGCAAAAAACTGTTGCTGCTGATGCTAATGTCATGACAGTAGGCGTTCCCCTCCCTTACGCAGGAAAGCAACAATAGTGGCTTTGGAGAAGAAGTAGGAAGGAAGGGGGACTAAGAGTCTATTATACCATTTCAAACTTTTGGAACAGAGAGCATTTGGCTAATAAACTATAACCTGGCCACCTTTCACCCTAGTCTCACTCAGATGTTCCTGAGTGACTCCTGTTTCATGACAAGAGTGACCTGGGAAGCCAAAATATTTACCCACTCATTTCTGATGTTGGGCTAGCTTTCTCATACTCCCCAGATGCTTTTTGTTGCTTTTGCATCTTTAGAGTTAGTGATCAAATCATGTGATGTCCTATTTCCTCTCTATTCACCAAAGGTTAAGCCTCATCTCGAGTCCTGCGTCCAGTTCTGGACACCACTCTTAAAGAAGGATTGCCCCCCCCAAAAAATGGAGCAAGTTCAGAGGAGGGCAACAGGGATAACTGGGGGACTGGAAGCCCAAGCCCTAGGGGGAGCAAGTTCAGAGGAGGGCAACAGGAATAATTGGGGGACTGGAAGCCCAAGCACTAGGAGGAAAGACTGAAAGAAATGGGCAGGTTTAGCCTTAAGAAAACTGAGGGGAGATAGGAGGACACTTTTCAAATATCTGAAAGGTAGTCCTACAGAGGAGGAGCAGGATCTGTTCTTGGCCATCCCAGAACACTTCCAAGTAATAATGGGGTCAAGTTACAGGAAGCCAGATTTAGGCTGAATATCGGGAAAAACTTCTTAACTGTTAGAGCAGTACAACAATGGAACCCATCACCTCAGGAAAACTTCTTAACTGTTAGAGCAGTACGGTGGTGGCACCAATTAGCTTGAGTGACGGTGAGGTATCCACTGCTGGAGGCATGCAAGAGAACATTGGTATGTCATGCCTGCTTTGATTTGGATTCCCGCCTTGAGCAGGGGGTTGGACCCGATGGCCTTGTGAGGTCCTTTCCCACTCCATGATTTGAGGATTTGAGGATTTGGCATCCTCCACAATGACCCACATACAGCAACTTCTCAAGCAAACTTGGGCCTACAAGGAACTTCTGGGATGTGGTGGGACTTAACTATTGTGTTTATCAACTGACCTTAGTCACAACCTCCCGGACAGGCTTCGACAATGCTGCAGGAACTATGCTTAAAGCATTATACCTAGAATAGCAACAACAACAACAAAAGGACACATTACATTGTGTTTCTCTGTGTGAAAAGCTACCTCATGTTGCCTGGAGTTATGGGTGTAGCCCTTGCTTTGAGTTATAGGCCTACATGAGTATGAGTTCGGTGTCTTTGTGTGTGCGTGTGCGCAATGTGCCCCTCATATTGTGTGTTTGCATGAATTGACAACACACAATATAGGTCTATATTGAGTTATAGGCCTACATGAGTATGAGTTTGGTGTCTTTGTGTGTGTGCGCACGCGCAATGTGCCCCTCATATTGTGTGCTTGCATGAATGCTTGCCTTGGGTTGTGTGGGTCTGCAAATATCTGCAAAGTTCTATGCTGTGTGTGAATGCACAGTTTTCCCGCACCCCTCCCCAGGCACAAACATCCTTTTAAAAAAGCGAACCGCTTCATGGTTCGTTCTGTCAAAGCATTCGGACAGTTTGTGGTTCATGGTTCACCACGAACTACCATGAAGCACAATTTTTCTGCTTCATGTTCTAGTTTTTTTGCTTTGAATCTGGTTTTTTGTATTGATTTTTGGATGGTATTTGTTTGATTCTTGTAAAATATTTGTGCCCTTCCAGTTTTTAGCTTGTAAATATTGTCTTCTAATGATGTAAGCCACTTTGGGTTTTTTTTTTAAGGTCCTCGTCCACTGGCGTGCAATAGCAGATGGGGTCTGGAGTTGTTTTTCTGAACTGAAGCAGCTAGATTTCCCCCATGGTCATGCAGAGTGGTAGATTTGGAGGATTACAGACCAAAATTAAAAAAGGGCAAAATTTTAAAACATCTGGCCAGCATTCAGGGTGGGCGAAATTAAACAGGACTCCTTTAAATGCACTCATCCTTATCCTGTTTGCTAGGAAATAATAGGTACTGATTTTAATGGGATTTCCAAGTGAACTGTATGCGCACAAACCTTTTGAAGCCCAGATCATGGTAGCACTGTTTGGTTTCATCCAGATACAGTTCTGAAAGAAGATGAAAGACCGAGAAGTTCCTCAAAAGAAAACATTGCCAGATCATAATCGCCCCTTAAGGCTATGGAAAAATTAAGCTCTGGAACCAACAGCCTTAATTAAAGATGAGCCAAGATACTTCAGAAGTTAATTTTCCTGAGAGAATGTAGATTTTTTAAAAAGACTCAATTCCCATCTCAATCCTTAGGAAAGGAAAGCCAGCCTGCAGAATTTTCACTAAATCCAAATATAGACCTATATTATGTGTTGTCAAGTTGATTCCCACTGATGGTGACCCTTTCCAGAGTCTTTGAGGTAGAAATACAAAGGCGTTTACCATCCTCTTCATCTGGGGGTGGCCTGGGACTATACAGCTTGCTTAGGGCTACACAGGCTGGTCACCTAGGGGAAATCGAACTTCCAGCTTCTGGCTCCACAGCCAGAGACCTAAACCACTGAGCTATCCAGCTGGTCTCCAGCTGAATGATGCCCTTTAAATACTGTGTATAGCTCAGACTCAGAAGGGGTTTACTCTTTCCTTCCTCCAGGGGGCGCCCTGGGACGGTGCAGCTTGCCCAAGGTCACCCAGACTGGTTTTTCTTTTAAGAGGCCCAGTGGAGGAATCAAACTCACAACTTCTGGCTATGCAGCCTGGAATCAAACTCACAACTTCTGGCTATGCAACCCAAGACCTAAACCATTGAGCTATCCGGCCAGCTTTTTAAATAAAATCCTAAGCCAGCAGGAAAGTCCGGTTGCATGGCGAAAACATTCCCTGTAGTAGCAATTAAATTAAGTCCATCGTTTCAAAATCATGTTTTACTGCATCTCCAAACCATGACCCTCGCTGACCGAGGGTAATGGGCGTTGGCATCCGAAAAAAAACTGTGGTGGGTGGGCCACAGGTTTACCATCATCATGTTGACTCTCAAGGACCTACTCTGGCGAACCAACCTACCTCCTGTGAAGAATTTCCCTTCCTGGAATTCCTTCAGGCCTACAGTTTCCGGCACGACGCCGATTAAGTGAACACCATGGCTGTCAAGCAGCTCTTTCAATTTGCTGGTTTCTTTGGTGACCCAACGGCAGACTTGGCACCCCAAGCGACGCAGGAACAGCAACACGCAAGGGTGCTCCTTCCAAAGGCTGGCCAGCTCGACGACCTGCGAAGCAAGAGAAGACCACAAAGTCACCGAGAAACTGTGAGAGACACTCTTTAATCAAAGGAGGGAAGCCTCCGATGACCTTCAGCAATCCTCCTCCTTCGTCCTCCATTTTCAAAGATGACCCTCTCTGGTAGATCCGCCATTTAGGACAGTGGTTCCCAACCTTGGGTGCCCAGATATTCTTCAACTACAACTCCCAGAAGCCTTCACCACAAGCCGTGCTGACCAGGATTTCTGGGAGTGGTAGTTCAAGAACATATGGGGACCCCAGGTGGGGAACCACTGATTTAGGGGGGGGGGGAAGAGGGGACAGATCATAGTAGAAGGATAGCAAGTTGGTGAGTTGAAATGATGGAGATGACTCGTGTATGAGATTGTTTAAAGACTTGTGTAGCATCAGCCTCTTTCTTTCCTCCCTGGTGCCCATCGTAACCGAGTGGCATACTTAACTGACATTTAAGGAGTGGTCTTACCAGTGCCAGCACCCTCAGCGAGTTTTCATGGCGGAGTGGGGATTCAAACCCTGTTCTCTAGAGTCCTAGTATATCTCTCTATCCACTACACCACACTAGAAATCCAGTGTACCGATCCACTACACCACACTAGGAATCCAGTATACCAATAGCTATTAACAATCTACCAGGCTTTGTGAGATTTTAAGCACGCCATTGGATACACAGCTGGACTCTTGAACACTGCGTTGCACAGCACCGCCTCTTATTCAGGATCATAACAAACAGATACATACAGGTTGTGTATTTTTATTTAGATTTATTTATCCTCTTATTCAGGATCATAATAAACATACATATAGGTTGTGTAATTTTTTTTTCTGTTTGTCTAACTGCACATTTATTGCTTTTCCAAATAATACATTTTCCCAGTGTCCTACTGCATGTATGTTTTTTTTTTTTTGAAGATGGAAAAAAAACCCCTGCAGTCTGCAGATCTTCTTTAAAAAAGATCTTGAGGAATTTGGATGATGGGACAAAGCTATCCGCAGGTTTTGTAATTGGTCTCGTGGACTTTCCCCCTTTGCCCTTCTCTGTTCTTCTTCTTTAATAACCATCCTGAGTCAGGGTAGGTGATAAGTTTCACCCACCGCTGATAAGACACTGATAAGACACGCTGATAAGACACGGATAAAACTGTTCTGTGCTTTGATGTGCTTTCTCCAGAAAACTAAGGGAGGAGGTGGGGCTTTCCCCCTCTGCTGTCTCTTTTAACCCCTCCGTGCTCATGATTTCTGGAGGAAAAGCTAGGCATGATTTCCTTTCTCACATTGCTGGGATATCCCATTACAGCAAAAGCAAAGCGTGCTGCTTATATACCGCCCCATCGCGCTTTAAGCACACTCTCCGGGCGGTTTACAAGTTCACTATGCAGGCTACACATGGAGGCCCATCATCCTCCCCAACATCCTCATTACAAAGCCCCTTGTGGCTGCTCTTCTCAACTTCTCTCTTGGGGGCGAGTCACTGCTTTTATGGACAAAAGCTGAAAACCGAAAGTCAGAGTCCTAGGAGCATAAACCATGTGGCAAGAGAGAGAAATGGGAACCATCCCCATGGAAAGCAATCTAGAATTCTACAGGAAGCAAAGCTGGATGCAGGGCTGAGCCACTGGTGGTGGGAAAGGGTCAGATCGGTGGTTTCCCAATCTTGAGACCCCCAGATGTTCTGGGACTAAAACTCCCAGAAGCCTTCACTATGAGCTGGGCTGGCCAGGATTTCTGGGAGTTGCAGTGAGGTGTAGTGGACTCAGACTCCGGAGGTTGCAGTCCAAGAACATCTGGGGACCCCGAGGTTGGGAACCACTAAAGTTAGAGTGTCCCCCCATCAACAGGGGAACATTGTGTGCTGTCAGAGTAAATCTCTGCATGTAAAAAGAAACAAGAGTGAGGTGTAGTGGACTCAGACTCCAAAGAAAGTGAGTTCCAAGCCCTGCTCAGCCATGAAAAATCACAAGCATAGAGGTAGAACTGAGGAAAACCACTCCTTAAACAGCTCGCTTACCTTAAAAAGCCTATTAGGCTTGTCATAAATCAGATGCAACTTGACGGTATCCTTGTTAATCACCTTCCCCCCCTGCACCTGTGCTTCAGCCCCACCAGGGGAAGATGTCTTTCTTCATTTTCTTCGAAACCTTTTTTTGAGTCACATCCAGTCCTTAAGAATCTAGCATCTGCCTCTGAATCCTCACCAGCACGAGATAACAGATGGAAGCTGGTCTCGATCCGCAGTAGATCTCGGGGAGGAATCTGATTTTTGGTGTGTTTTTTTGGGGGGGGCGAATGGGTCCTGTTCTGATTTATAGCGATGTATTGATTATTGATTAAGCATCCTTCAGTCTCGAGAGACGATGGTCACGTGCTCTGTATGGAGGACTTGGAACAGCGTCTAGCGTGGCTGATAAGACCAGTTCAAGAGTGACCGTCCCTTCCACACTGAAGACAAATACAATCTGTCTCCTCTCCAGCTCCCTGATTTAGCTGCTTTCGGGACTGCCTCTTTATATAAAGGACTTATACAAGTGACTTATGCAAACCCCAGCTTAAGAGAAAAACAAAAGCATTACTCACCTCTCCGCTGACGGCATGTTTGAGCTTGTTAGCCGCCACTTTGCTGAGGTCCACCCCTGACGCCATGTCTGATTCTTCCCTGCTCCTTCCCTCTTCTCTTGGTCTATTTCTCCTCTCCTTCCAGCTGAGCTTCTTGATCAGACTCTGCAGGAGCTGGTAGGGAAACCCAACAGCCTCAGTGATGTCAGCTAATTTCCCTAAGCCCGCCCTCCCCGTGCATGGGTACAGCCAATCAGGGGCTGAGGGAAGGGAAAGAAGCCCCACCCAGGAGGAAAGCCCATAAATAGGAGGAGTGGCCTGGACTATGTTTGGTGGAAGAGGAGGGACTGGAAACAGATGATAAGGGAGGGCCATTGAATGTCAATCAGCAACGCCAGCCAATCTTCAGCTGGCCAGCACCCTGTTCGTTGTGCAGATGAATAGCAACACCCTGGTGGCTCATAGAGAGCAACCTTCTTGTCGCAACATTAATCCATCACAGCAGCAGTGTGCTTTTTTAAAAAAACCTGTCTTCCCCTAAATCGTAGGCTCATGGAGTTGGAAGGGGTCGATAAGGCCATCTAGTCCAACCCCCTGCAGAAGGCATGGGATTTTTAAAATATATATATATATCTTCTTGTTTGAGATGTCTAGCAATCTCAAAACCAACACAACACCTGGCAAAACAGTTTTTTTTTATCTTGTAAGACAATTCATCCAATTTCTTTTTATGTCACCTTGACCAATGATAATACACACACACACACACAAACAAACAAACAAACACAGACACAAACCCCTCAAGACTCTAAGGCACACGGTGCCTCTCTTGAGACATACAGATCATCTGGCATTTAATAATAGGTGCAAAAATTATCAATAGGATTACAGGCTTTTCCAACCATCAGTGAAGTTGTTGTTTTTGCTTGTGCATATTCACAGCAACGCCACTTGCAAGGTATCAAGTCCTTCAAAAATTGTGGAAATGATAAACTTAAAAAAAGGGGGAACGTCTGTAAACATGGAAATATACATTCTTCAGAAAATGTGGAAATTTTCTTTCTTGTTGAGAAAGGATCCAGGATCTTTCACAATTGGTGGGATCGGAAATACGAAGTGCTGAAAGATGAGCCTTGTGGCATGGTGGTTACACTGCAGTAAAAACTCTGTTCACGGCCGGAGTTCGATCTTGACCAGTTCACGTAGCCAGCTCAAGGTTGACTCAGCCGTTCATTCTTCCGAGGTCGGTAAATTGGGTACCTGGATTACTTGGGTGGGAGGCAATGTGTAGCCTGAATAATTAAAATTGTAAACCATCCAGACAGTGCTTTAAGCACTATGAGTTGGTAAACAAGCAGCAAGCTTTATTTTGCAGATATGGATCTAAGAGTACTTCACTTGCCAGTGTATTAAACCATATTAGTGCTTAATTATAGTGGCTAATTTCTCTCCCTTATCATGAGTGCCTATATTTTAAACCGATACAACATGGTCCTTTCCATACTTGGGAATAAATGCTCTTAATGCCATGAACATGCACAGATGAGAGACCATTGTCTTTCTTTTCATTTTGGAACAATTCACCCATTGTCACAAATTTCACATTTTTTAAAATTATATTTATTCATTTGATTGATTTATTTGATTTGATTTGTATCCCGCCCATCTGGTTGAAACAACCATTTTAGGTGGCTTCCAACATAACATGAAAACTAATAAAATAAGACAAATATTACATGAATCTTATAATAACAAGTTACAATACAAAATAGAATAAAAAAATAAAGATAGAAAGAAAAATCAAGTATTGACTGGAGGGAAGGCCTGAATAAACATCCATGTTTTTAATTGGCTTTTAAAGATACTCAGCATAGGGGACGTGAGAATCATTGTAAGTCTATATGTAGTTTACCCATACAACGAAATTCACACAGAGACCAGATCCACATGCACACACATAAAAAAATCCCCAAACACTCCCCACCCACTAAACACTCCCCACCCACTAAAAATCCCCCACTAAGAACACAAACATCTACATCGCAGGCTAAGTCACACTGTCCAACTATTCACTACTTTAAGGTCTTTAAGCTCATTATTAAGTGCAATTATAGCTCTGGGTTAAAAACTATTCAGAAAATGTGTGGTCCGAGTCTTAATTGTTCCATATCTTCTCCCAGACGGCAATTTTGGGACAGAAAGATCTTGAGGTTGGGGGAGGAAATGTGAAAGTAAGGGGAAGTGAAACCCCTAAATTATCTCAATCTTCCCCCAAACCTCCTGGAGGAATGGAATCAAAATGAAGCAATTGGTATGGTTTAGCGCTCACCGTGAATAATTAAATTATTTGTGGTCAAGCAAAACGATGTGCTTTACTGGTTGAAATGTCCAACTGTAAACAGGAGCCCTCGAGCTCAGATTTTCTCACTTGGCCTCACCCCTTGATGGAAAATAATGGGCCAGCCGTGATTTCTCAGTTCGACCTACCTTGCAGGGTTGCTGGGGTGATGGAACAAAAAGGGAGCACTATCCACACTGTCTCAAGGTCTTGGAGGAAGAGGTAGAGAATAGAGGCGCAGATTTCATTTAGAAAGAAAATGATAATGCACCCCATTTCGCAAGCAGGAAAGAAAACAAGTCACACACACCCTTACCCATCGTTCTTCTTCGCCTTCCCACATTTAATTTATCGGCATTTAAATAAATAAGCAGATTCTGAACAACACAAGCAAAATCCATCACAATATAATTCACAGATGTATTACTTTTAGCCTGCTGTGTATTTATAATCAACGAACTGATTCAGAAGGAATGTTATATAGACAACTAGGTGATAGAGGCAGGATCTGGAAAATGTTATAGCTACCATAGACATGTCGTAAGGTTAAACGAGAAAGCCCTATTAGGGTTGCTATAATTTGGTTCCGACTTGACAGCACATGACTAACTAACTAACTAACTAACATCTTCTTCTAACTAACTATATATCTAACTTATTGTATGGTTGGACCCATAATTGTGATGTGACTCCATGACACCTTCTCCCATAATGCATTTGTAAGGGAACGGAGGGACAACCCCCCTCTGTTCTAAGCCACTATACAGTCCAGTGTTATACAGCAGTGGTCCCCAACCTTGGGCTTCCAGATGTTCCTAGACTTCAACTCCCAGAAATCCTGGCCAGCAAAGGTGGTGTTGAAGGCTTCTGGGAGTTGTAGTCTAAGAACTTCTGGAGACCCAACATTGGGGACCACTGTTATACAGCACTAACACTTGTCAAGCATTGGAATCGTGAACTGAGTCTTTGGGGTTGACATCCAGACATTTCCTCCTCTTTTCCAAATGGAGCAAAGGAGTATCGCTCCATCACAAAGCTGCAGCTACTACTTGTCTGAACACTGTGTCTCAGTTTTCAGCTCCACGGTTGCATATTAGAGCTCCATTGACTTCTTCCTGGACATCTGAGAAACCACCGTCAACTGACATCTCTTGGACAACGCTTAACAACACCAACAACACCAGAGCAAACACCATTGGGAAGTCTGTAGTTCTTGTCAATGGATGGACGTGCCCAGGTAAAAAATGCAGATGATAGTAGAACAAATTGAGGCTAAAATGAATCTTTGACAGTGAAGAGAAAATAAATCCTTTGTCAGCAAACATGTTGACGCTGGCTGGCTCTTTCATTACTTCATCCTTTAGATGTTCTACGACTTACAGTGAACACTCTTTTGTATTGTCTTTGGAGAAGCTGAGAAGCATTGTCCCCCCAGAATCACCGCTGGTGGATGCATGGTCTTGAGTTCTCCTTCCCTCCGAAAAAGGTCCACTTTATCTCCATTTCATAGGAACCTATACTCTTCCTCTTCTTTCTGATACCATCCAGATCCAGTGTTTTCATTGGCTGATTCTATGAAAGCTTGGTTGGAACGTCCATACGTGCTAGTGCTAAATTAAAAGTGCTACATCATTTCCCCCCCCTCCTTTTTCTAAGTTGTGTTTCATCTTTAGAACCTACAGAGCGAGCGGATGCTGTCAAATTGGGTTTGGGCAGACAAATGAATATCCTGCTACCCACCCCCCAGCCCCACCCCCGGGTCATTTTTAAAGAATGGGCCAAACTTTTGCAAATCACCATATTCAGGATGGAAAGAACTTAAAGGTTTTTTTTTTTAATGGATGCCAGTAACAGCAAAATTGGACTGTTTTTCACCCTAGCTTAGAGGATGGAATGAATCCCAGAAAATGCTTTCGCAAACACTCTTGTGAACCCAGCCACAGACTGGCTGGGTTTTAGTCCTTGGGGGAAAATATTCCTTTGTTTTCTTCCCCGCTTCTTCTTGTAGTGACTCTTGCTCCTCTTCTCCACCTCCAGACACATCCTTTCCTGTGTGTTCAACTTTAACAAGCTTTTCTACCTCCTTCTCGAAAGAAAAAAAAACCAGTTTCATCTTCCTAGCAGATGGTGAACTGTTGTAGCTACGAATGTGATCGCCTTTTTATATGAAGAACAATGCAGTTTTTTACTTTGTCTTTATGTCCAGGGCTTCTAGTCATAGTGATTTGGTTTCTCAGCCAACGTTGTGCTTACTCAAGACATTGTGTAAGTCGGCTCACCAGAATGTTGATTGGTCTCCTGCATGGGTATCACCATGTGCTGGTCGCTTTCCGGAACAGGGAGATAATGGTTCGGTTCTTCTTTCTAAAACAAGGTGATGGGGAGGGGGAGAAGAAACTGTGTTTTAGAATCAGAGAAGCATAGATTAATGGAGTTGGAAGGGGTCTACAAGGCCATCGAGTCCAACCCCCTGCTCAAGGCAGGAATCCAAATCAAAGGATATCTGACAGAGGGCCGTCTGAGTGAGCAAAAGGTTGAAGAGGACAGGAAACATTTCAGAGGAATTCGCAGGTGATGGAATCTGGGGACATTTCACCCAAATGCCAAATCTTAACATTACCAATGTTCATATCAATGTAATTGTCTCTGTTTCCTTCTAAAATATCCTCGTGTAACCTACTACATTGGTCGCCAGCTGAGGGTCCCCAGATGTTCTTGGATGACCGCTTCTAGAAATCCTGGCCAAAAAAAGGTAGTCGTGAAGGCTCCTGGGAGTTTATGTCCAAGAACAATTGGGGACCCAACGCTGGGAACCACTGGCTAATTTTAGGCTGGCTTTGGGTAGAGTCTTGATAGTTTGACTTCTTAACGTTTGGGAAAATATATCGGTGAAGATTCTCAGTCCTCCAGGTGAGGTTATCTGGAAGTTGAGTCATGGCGACTGGACTCCTTTCTTATTAGATTGAAATGTTTCGCTAGTCATCCAAGTGGCTTCTTCAGTCTGAGGAGAGTCGGTAGGCGACCCCCTGATATATCCATGGAACCAACGTGGAGTATCAGGGATCTCCTACCAACTCTCTTCAGACTGAAGAAGCTTTTTGGATGAGGAGCGAAACATTTCATTGTAATAAAGAAAGATGTCTAGTTACCACGACTCAACTTCCAGATGTTTCAGAAAACAGGTGAAGAGGCTGCACCAACGGTTTTGTGGAGAAACCTCTGGAGAGAAGCAGCAACCAGAGGAAACTAGCGTCAAGCAAGGGAACAAAGGCCATTTCTTTTAAGATAATTCAGGGCGGTATAATTGGAGCATGGATGTAATGGAAAATCACGGCAGAAAGGAAAAACGATGGCACAGTTGCATATCTCATCTATGCTTTGATTGTGTTTTCAAAATATATTTGTAGAAAGAAGGGGAGTTTTAAAAGCAACGCATGATTCCCACAAAAATAGACTCACCTTTTCTTCAGCAGGGCCTACAAAACAAAACAAAAAGAGATTTCTCAGAGATATGAGCATAACTAAAGGGCTACTGTATTTTTCCCGTGTATAAGATGTCCCCATGTATAAGACGCCCCCCACTTTTCTAATCCAAAATTAAGAAATCTAAGTGGGGCTTAGCAAGTGTAGGGGGAAAGGGATCAAAGTGCTGCAGAATCGCTTTGATCCCTGCTTTCTGCTCCATTTGTTTTTTGTTCTCTCCTCGGCTTACTTCCGTGTATAAGACGACCCTAAATTTTTAGTCTAAAGATTTTAGACAAAAGTATAGTCTTATACATGAAAAAATACAGTATTTCTTTCCTCAAGTTGTCTGTCTGTTACTACAAGCCAGAATCTTGGTGGCCTAGGGAGACCAAGACAAACCCTGATTTCTAGAACTAAACTCTCACTGTTTTCTCTCTTTTTTTTCTGGATATAGAAGACAACTTTTTCTCTTTTTTTCTGCACTTACCTTCTTTGGCGTGCGTCATTTTTTTACGCAGGATGATGAAGATGAGAATGTTTATAACAACGATAACTAAAGCCAGAGAGATGACAATGGGAGCTATATGGACAGGGGAGTTTGGTTGATCACAGATTGCATCAGAGGTTGGACTGCCCGGCTGGACCTCGATCATACCTGTCTCGCTGCAACTGCAGTGAAGATGGAGACACAATAATTCAGTACTTGAGTTGGAGTGAGTGGCTGCATCCACCCTTTTTCATATTGTGACCCCCTCAGTGTTCACACTGATGCATCCTGGATCCACGTTAATCTGAGATTATTGTTCAGCCTCCATCAAAATCCACAACATCTGTTCATTTCATCTCATCCCATTTCTAGCCTGCCTTTCTCTCCTCATATGTGGAGTCAAAGTAGCCAACAAAAGAACTTAAAAAACAAAACATCAGCTATAATTACAAAAGGCACTTTAGCACACACTAACACCTAGAAACAACAAACTTTAAACAATTTGCAGATTTTTTTGCAAACAAGCACAAATGTCTGGCTTAGAAACTAGGACAGAGGTCAACAGAGGAATATCAGCAGCAATTCACAAGCAATGAACTCCACCCACCACCACCACATGATGCTGTGTGGATGAAGACGGCAGCAATCACTACAGAAGGAAATGTATCTTGGATCACGGTCTTGGTCTGTAGTCTAAGTCTACAGTATGGCCCAAAATAGGATTCTCCGGAACAGACAATAATGCTGGTAAGGATGGAAGGCATCAGGAAAAGAGGAAGACCAGATACAAGATGGGCTAGCACTGGAGGATAGAAGTAAGGGTGCAACAAATACTTTCAAATGTTTCCTAGACTAAAAGGTTCACCTTGTGAAAATAATGGTCAGCCACTTTGGAATTTTCCCCCTGCTCTTGCACAACAAGGAAAAGATTGACACCTTTTTCGCCATACCATCAGGTGAAAGGGAAAGAAAATAACCCCCTGTGGTTTTAGAGCAACACAACCTTGTATTTTACACCCAAATCTGTGCAAAACGCAAGGGCATTTTAAAAATACATTTTGCATAAAACAAGTGCTGAAATGCAAAACACCAACACAACTAACTTCAAAGATTTTGCACTTGTTTGAATGAAAGTGTTGAAGTTATTTCAACCTTGCATGCTGCCTTATTACCTATGGCTGGGAAAGACCTAGGTGACTGCCAATCAACCAAGGAATAACCAATTGTTTCTTCCCTGCCTCTGATTTTAAATAGAACCATGCCTCTCTGCTTAAGAGTCTTCCCCTGCCTCCTTTTAGTCAGCTGATAGTTAGTTGTGCAGTTAGCAGTTAGTGCAGTTATGTGAGGATGTAAGCTGCAAGAGTCTGCTGGAAGTAGTCAAAGTAATCCGTGGAGTCCTCTTGCCAGAAGCAATCACTTTTGTTCAGCATGCTGATAGTGATCTGTTCAACTGTGAGTGAATGAAACCCTTTTATTCTTTCTCTTACCAATGTCTCAGAGTGAGTTATTGAGATTGTAAGTGCCAGTTGATGAGACAATAAAGGGTGGTCTACTCTGAAGCTAATTCTGCTCTGTAAATCCCTGCACTTCTGCTGTGCGGCTAGAGGTTTTTAACCAAAATTCAAAACCCTGCAACAGAAACGAGCAAAATTAACACACTGTGTGAAATTGGAAAAAACGTGCAATGAAGGAAATAAATGAAGGTGGTTAATTTCAAGATGGGCAAAGCTGACATGATTCACGAGGAGGCTATGACTATCTGCTCTAGCTTCTGTTACTGAAAATGATCATCCCACTTTGCCTCACAGTTGTTCCTGCTGTCTGCCTTACCCTCCAACCTAAATTCCTAAAACTAGCTGCATGAGAAGAAAATGTGTGTGCATTGTGTGTGTATGTGTAAAATTTAAAAAGTGTCATCAAAAACCCATCTTTTAGGATCACAGCAGTGAGTAAAGGGAACTGACACTTACTTAGTCCAGTGTTCACAGGAAGAACTCATGTGGGTCGCTGAGAAAGTTTTAGGTGGACAAGCTACAAATTTAGTGTCACTGGTTTCCGTGCCTACGAAAGAAGGAGACAGATGTTGTTTCTCTCCTGACCAAGAAGCAGACCTTCAAATGGAATGTTTCCTTTAGCACAAGTTCAGATAGCTGTGACTTGTTAGGTAAGTCCCGGGTAAAAATAATCCTTTCCATTCTTTGCCTCAGAGTTGGGGAGAAAAATTATTTAGACGCAGTGCTACAACACAACCTGTCTTCTAACTGAATCTCTAATTTCTTTTTCATCAAAGTACTCTCCTGGAGTGGGTGGGTGCGTTTGTGCATGCGTGAGTTGACTTATTCTCAGAGAGTTTCGGACAGAGATGCTGGCAAGTCTTTGGCGCCAAGTCCCCAGTCCAAGTCTTTGGCACCAAGTCCCAAGTCCAGGTCTTTGGCACCAAATCCGAAGTCCAAGTCTTTGGCGCCAAGTCCCCAGTCCAAGTCTTTGGCGCCAAGTCCCCAGTCCAAGTCTTTGGCGCCAAGTCCCCAGTCCAAGTCTTTGGCGCCAAGTCCCCAGTCCAAGTCTTTGGCGCCAAGTCCCCAGTCCAAGTCTTTGGCGCCAAGTCCCCAGTCCAAGTCTTTGGCGCCAAGTCCCCAGTCCAAGTCTTTGGCGCCAAGTCCCCAGTCCAAGTCTTTGGCGCCAAGTCCCCAGTCCAAGTCTTTGGCGCCAAGTCCCCAGTCCAAGTCTTTGGCGCCAAGTCCCCAGTCCAAGTCTTTGGCGCCAAGTCCCCAGTCCAAGTCTTTGGCGCCAAGTCCCCAGTCCAAGTCTTTGGCGCCAAGTCCCCAGTCCAAGTCTTTGGCGCCAAGTCCCCAGTCCAAGTCTTTGGCGCCAAGTCCCCAGTCCAAGTCTTTGGCGCCAAGTCCCCAGTCCAAGTCTTTGGCACCCAGTCCCAAGTCTTTGTCTCTAAGTCCTAAATCCTAGTCTTTGGCACCAAGTCCCAAGTCCAAGTTTTTGGCATCAATTCCCAAGTCTTTGGCACCAAGTCCTAAGTCCAAGTCCCTATTAAAAATAAGATTTTTTTTCCACCCGAAAGAAGAGAAGGTGGGTGGATTCCAAGTCGCAAGTTGAGTCCGAATCATTGGGGAGGGAAAAAACCAAGTCAGGTCCGAGTCGAGTCACTAAGTCTGACTTGACAGTGAGTCCTGTGACTTGAGTCCCCATGCCTGGTTTTGGATTAGATTTGATTGTATTCCTTGTATTATTTGTTTGGACAAAGAATGCTAATCTCCTCCTCCCCCCTATCATAACCTATAACACATTTCTCTGTGGTTCTCTGGCAGCCCACACATCCATTGGACAAATAAGGCCCCCTTGCATATTTTTTTCATTATTATTTATTTCCACTAACTTTCATAGTATGCACCATCCCTGCACCTTCACAATCTCTTGGAACAGGGCCCTTCCCAGTGCATTATGGAAGATGCAATTGGTGGCCAGATGGACATTCACTCTGTCCAAGCAGCTGCGAAAACAGAGTGTCGCCATGATTATTGTCTGTCATGGTATTTGTCTTACCCAGTTCTATCACCATATAACCAGGCAGGGCGACGGTATGTTTTTGGCACAAATCACAGGATTTCTCAGCAAAGTGAAGACAGAAGTAGCCTGCTTGGCAAGCACATACTGTGTTCTTCTGATACGTGCATTCTTCTTTAACTCTCAGGTGGGCCCCTGGAAAGGCACAATTGGAAATGGGAGTTCAGGATTCATAAGGCGCAGCCACCAGCTTTCATCAACATATCCCATAGGACCAACACATTTTCTGGATCTTGCTGAGTTTGTTACAACATGTTCCCTGGTGTTCTTCGACTACAGCTCCCAGAAATCCTGGCCAGCACAGCTAGTGGTGAAGGCTTCTGGGAGATTTAGTCCAAGATACAAATCCTACAGTTCTCCCTTCTGGGAGTCCTACCTACCTTGCAGGTATCTTAAAAACACCGGAATATGATAGATCCAGGCCTATACTGGAATGCTTTGAGCCTTAGCTAGGCCTAGTTCCACCCACGTTTCCTGTTCCTACCCCACTGCTAGTTGGGAGCTGTGATGATTTGAAGGATCATGGGAATTATAGTCACATAAAAGAAGGTGGAGTCTTTTAGTGACTCCCTGTCCAAACCTCATACTCTCTTTAGGTGGAGTTTGGCATTACTAAGCTTTCGAACTCAGACCATTCTCCCAGGGGTGTCACATATAGACATGTAAGGGAGATAGAACTCCCCCAGAAGATAATTATGGGGTTGCAGTCCAGAAAATGTGAAAATCCCATTCCCTAAGAACCGTTTTGAAAATGCTTCCTCTGGAGTAAACAGGTTGGCACTGTGGCTGCAAACCTTGTCAGTAGCCACAGAGATCTGAAAAAAAAAATCATAGAATCATACAATAATTGAGTTGGAAGGGCCTGAAAAAGTCCATCAAGTCCGACCCCCTGCTTAGTGCAGGAATCCAATTTAAACCAAACCTAATATTTTTATTTTCCTAAATGCCTCCAGTGTTGGACAGCTCACTGCCTCCTAAGGTCATGGATTCCATCGTCATACTGCTCTAATAGTTAAGAAGTTTTCCTGAGGTCATGGGTTCCATTATCGTACTGCTCTAATAGTTAAGAATTTTTTTTCCTGATATTCCGCCTAAATCTGGTTTTGTGTTGCTTCATCCCATGATTATGTGTCCTGCACTCTGGGATGATCCATAAAAGATCCTGCCCCTCTTCTGTCAGAGGAGACATACAGTCCTCCTCTGCATCTTCTCTTTTTACCTCCATCACAGACGTGACATCTAAAGCATGTAGTCTGACCATTAGGATGGTCCATGTAGGTCCTGTTCATACATGGAACACAAGTTGCGCTTGAAATGGCAGTGCAGTGTTGACGAACTCTGTATCCTACAAAAAAAGACAGTCAGACTCAGTGTATTCCATGGCTGCTGCTTTTTTGCTAAAATAAATTGCTAGGTCAGTTGGTGGTTAGGATATAGTTCAACATTGCTTCTTTATATTGGAATGAGATGCTCCTCAAATAATTTGGGGAAACTGGTAGGCGTTCATCTCCTAGAGTAGTGGTCCCCAACCTTGGGCCCTAAAGATGTTCTTGGACTACAACTCCCAGAAGCCTTCACTACCACCACCTCTACTGGCCAGGATTTCTGGGAGTTGAAGTCCAAGAACATCTGGAGGCCCAAGGTTGGGGACCACTGTCCTAGAGTACATCTCGGATGAAAGCTGATGTGTCCCTCTCCAAACCTGGCTTCTGGCATTGCCCCATGACACTGGTGGCTTTGACGTCACAGGGAGGATGAACTTGCCCTTGGTTTGGGGTTCAGCACCTTGGATAGCTCTTATAAAGCTTAGGCTAAAAGGTGTCACTTTCCACCACCCTCTATGAAATAGGTGTCAGTATGCCTTGCCAGCTGGCTGGATGGCTCAGTGGTTTAGTCTTCTGGCTGCGGAACCAGAGGTTGAGAGTTCGATTCCCCTACGGTGCCTCCAGGGAGAAAAAGTGTGGTCTTGGGCAAGTGTACAGTCCCAGGGCACCCACTTCTGAGTACTCTCTACCTGGAAAACCCTGAAAAGGGTCACCAGAAGTCAGAATTGACTTGATGGCACTGGATGATGATTCCCTGCCACTGCTTGATACAGGCAGATGAATATTGGATGGCTCTTTTCCTCATGGGAATGGCATGGTCTCATGCAAGTCGGGAGCTACAGGATCAGAGAGTTACCGAAGGCGTTACACCTTGGCAAGTGTTACAGGGATTAGCAAGTGAGGTCCTCTCTACAGCTCTCAGTGGGGTTTGTGTAGGCACTGCAAGCAAAATCCAACAGCTGCCGTCGTCTTGTACATTACCTGCACCACATTTGGGACAGCATTGATGGTTGTGTTCATACTCCCATTCTTCGCAGGAGAAGGTTTCCCGAAAGAGAAGCAGCTGAGTTGCAAGGAAAAGCAAGAAAACCTTCCAAAAAAAAAAAGAGGTGGGGAGACTTAATGGGGTGATGTGTCCATTGTAATATATTTTCAACACTCCCTCCTGGAGAAGCAACCAAGAATCCACAATTTAAGACCCAAATAAAGGCTGTCTCCTGTTGGCTCGTGCTCAGATTGGAAACTAAAGCTGTTGCCTTAACCATCATGCCCCAGACATGTTATGCAATGTCAACAGATGTGTTTGTCACCACAGATCTATGCCTTCCTTTCCTCCTTTAAGTCTGAAGCCAGATGGGGAGGATGGAGTACCTTAAACCAAGAAAGTCCTGTACTGCCATAAGAAGCAGGTCTTGACTTAAGTTGATCCATTTCAAAGTATCAAGAGGAAGAACTTCCACAGGTAAAGCTCCATTCCTCCCACCCACCACTTCCACCAGAAGCATGGATAAGGTGGACTGGGACTCTAGCTTTTAAGAAATATAGATCAAGATGTCTTCTTCATATTTACATGATCACCCAGGTCTCTAGCTATTGCTAGGAATCTTGAAAACACAAATTCTTCCACAGTACTGCAAGGCATATTATACATCTGTATTCTGCAGCAAGCATTAGAAGTGAGTGTTCAAGGTGTTTGCAGTTTTGTATTTAGTAATAGATATGAGATTTTCAGATGTTTCTTTCACTCCCAGTACCAGGATTCAGCTTGAATTCTGATCGTTGTAGCCAAAGAATCCCATGTTCTCACAAGGGTTTCAGGAGGCTCATCTGGTCTTTTGCAATGGTTCTCTCTGAAGCGACAACGGCTAAGATGTTGGGGCTCTTTAAACTCCTTAAGGACTCCTTAAGAACTAAGTGCAAAGCATTTAGGGAACTGATAGGTTGTTTTTGTTTTTGAGAGGCACAGAGCCTATTGAACAGAGGGACTACTGCCTCTAATGCCTTGCACTTCCCAGTGAGCTGAGAATATCCCTTCCATGGCCTTCCCCATGTTTTAATGGCCCTTTCTGCAGACAGAAACTTTGCAAAGAACAGGCGAAGAGCCTGAAACACCCATAAGAACCTGGATATCCATCCATCCATGCTAAAACTACTGGAATGCTAGCTGAATTCCAGTCGCTGTAATGAAATAAAATCCAAAAATCATAGTGCCTGTCCAGCATTAACTCTAGGGACGTGAAGAATATCTGGGGGGAAAAATTCTCTGTGATTTTCCAAATCTCACTGTGTCTGGCTGTTTTTGCCTAGGCTTCCTATCACGATGGTGGGATTTCATGACTCCCTGAAAGAACAAGACAACCCCTCCCAACCACCACATCTTGGTTTTTCCCTGCTGTTTTTTTCAGTACAAGAACCTGCCAAATTCTGCTCCACTCAGTGTCCTTTCTAGAGAGCCTGGTGCAGGAAAGATGGTGTTTAAATGGAAAAGGTAATCCTTCAGCATCAATTAGTGTTTCTTCTGGGGGGAGGAGAAGGGGAAAATGACCATGAAACACCCAGCAAGCCCATCATGATTTTTTGGAGGGGGGGGAATCTCTCAGGCAGACAAATCTTTAAACAAAAGCCTTCGACTCAGTTTCCCTCTGAGAATAAAAACCCATGAGATCCACATCACTGCTTTAACTCTTTTGCATTCCAGCAATCACACAGACACGCAGCTAAGGGGCATAAAATTATCTGCATTTGCCCATTCTGTATCAGACCTACACAACTTCAGCACCATTTTTCCCCCTACCCCCAGACCTAATCCAAGACCTAGAAGGCTTTGTGGAGAGGGGGGCATCTTTGTCCAAAGGCTGAGCTCAAAGGGGTGGGTCCTCATGTTGTCATAGAGGTGTTGCTGACAAGCATTGGGAAAGGGGAAAGCTTGGCACCCAAGCTTTGCGCCATTGCTGCGGGGACTTGGGTGACAAAGAAGTCTCATGAGTTGGGAGGCTGGTGCACCATCGCCTGCCTTGTGTGCACAGCACTATGACTGGAACACCCAAAACCTACGAATCAGGGGTGGAGGAGGCAGGGGACGACACTGGTGCCATCTGGAAAAGCCCACACAGTAACCTCATCCTGATAAGCTAATGAGCCTTGCAATTGGCTAAGAACAGATGAGGGAGCTCTACCCATCCTCCTGTTTTCATGTAGGCATGTGGCACCAGGTAGGAGAAATCAGAAAGAGGCTGTCCTTCTTCCTTTTAGCCACAAGGTGGAACCTAGAAGCAGTTTTCTCTGGAAAAGATGCAGTAAACAACTGGATGACCTTTGTCTAGGGAAATTCCGGGAACAAGACCGAGTTGCATTGTGCAGGAAACCAAGCCAGTACCCTTGTGATGGCTTCAAGGCATGAAACAAAACACAATATTTGTGGATTTCATAAGGTTTTGAAGTTAAACAGCTCATTGTCTCTGCTGTCCAGTGTTATCTTCCTGTGCACATCTGGTAGGGGTGGGAATGCCGGAGAGTGAAGAAATCAGGCAGGAAGAAAATGGATTTATTGGAACGGTGGTGCTGGGGAAGA